CTTTCTGTAGAAAAGAAAAACTTCATTCCTCCATTCCAAACACCATGTGTTGTAAGCACAATATTGAAATTAGATTCCTTTAAAATTTCTATAAAATTCCTTCGGAATGAAGATAGGCTTGATCTGGTGGCGACAGTAGGGGACACTCAAACTCAAGCACCAACTTCAGCTCGGAATACTACTACGTACTACCACCTTGATCCTGTGAGAGCGAGAGCATATCAGCTGGAGCTGAGCTCATTGCGACACGTGACTCATGAGGCCGGACGCACGAAATAGAACAGTTCCATGTGTAAACCACCGCCACGCTAAGAATAGGCAAGCACGATTAACCAATCGGCCGGACAACACTACCAGAATGGCTTCGGCAGAACCGGATATTATTACTTTAGGAACTGCAGGGTATCGTGGCCTGTAGGCGCGCGCGTTCGCAGGAATCTCTCCGGTTCCGTCAAGGGTGTTGGTGCATACTTGCATTGCACAAGAATTTTGGCATGCCGTCCATTCCCCCACATGACCTATCCATCCATCCATTCCCCCACATGAAAGAGACGACCTTTTGTGACAGGAAAGATGCGTGTTTGATGGTTTGAGCTGATCACCGACCGAAATTTTAAATGGGTGATCGTACTCCAGAGTGTGAGATATATCCTCCCGGTGAGTCAAGTGCATCTTTTTGAAGGATACATCATGGAAGGAAGACTGATAATGCAAATGCATTTCGACGACTACGTTGCGGGGACTTCGGCTGAGATTCCCTAACTGCTGCTACCGGTCAAAATAATCCATAGAAATAAATAAAAGATATAGATATAAAGCAAGAATAATAAAAGTATTTGAAATGTTTGTTTAAGTTTCCCATGGTTGGTTATAGATTGGTTCTTATGCAGCATTCGTTGGACCTTGAATCTGTCTTCAGAACAGTCTCCCTCGGCGAAAATTCTAGAGCATATTAAATAGTAAATAGTTCTTAACATATCTTCTGAGCTAACTGCCGAAGAATATAGAACAAATTGCTACATCAGTAAGATACACAAGCATGGTGGGTATGGACATATATATAGGGTCCGTTTGATACAACGCTTCTTCACTAGTGGATGTTTTTTTTTTTGCCTTTAGCTCATGGAGCAGCTTTAAAAGTGGAGTTGTTTTTGTTTTTGCTAAACGTTTAGTAAATAGCTTCTTCTGTACACAAGGAGGATGAAATGTTTATGATGCTCTTGTTTTTTTTCTATCCCGTCACTCTCCTCCCTTTCGGTAGCTACCGCGCACCCTTCTTCTCCGCCACCCCCACCCCTCCCGCTCAGTCTTCAACAACCACCCTGCCCCTCTGGTTGTGCCGGCTAGCAGCGGCTCGCCTCTTCCTTTGTCGCCCCGTGCCACCTCTCGCCCCGCCTTGCCTCTCGCCGTGGTTCCTGGTCACTCGAGTTTCTTCTCCGCTACCGACTGCGTGCGTGAGAAGGGAGGACGAGTTGTAGCGTGTGGGCCTAGGGACATCAGCGTCCATCCCGTGTGAGAAGCAGAGCGAGCTGGTAATAGCTACTCGTTTTCTACCCCTCCATCTCTTGTGGCTCTCTCAGGGCTTTTTGGGGAGATTCACTAGTGGAACTGGTTGCCGTAAGGCCTTTTGGTAGCCTCGCATCAAAAACAACTTCTAAAACTACTCAGGAATCGCTGCCAAATGAGACATAATATAATCGGATTAAGTCCACTTTTAGCCCCTCAACTATTGTGTTAGTCTAATTTTAACCCTCAACTACAAAACCGTCTAGTACCGGTACCCCAACTGTCAAAACCGTTCACTTTTAGCATCTGGGCGCGGGTGAGGCTGTTTTGCCCAACGTGGAGCGGTTTTGACACGAAACCTCCATCTCAGTGACATGTGGGGCCCACGCGTCATCGACTCAACCCCTCCCTCTCCATCCTCACGGCCACTCCCCCGACGCGTCCTCTCTCTGCGCGCGGCGAGGCGGGCGCTGCTCCCTCCGACGCGGCAGCGCTGGCCTCCACTCCTCTCGTGGGCGCGGGTGCTGACCCTCGCGCGGCAGGCGGTCCCGGCGCGAGCGACGCAGCGGCGCTGGCCTCCACTCCTCTCGGTGGTCCCGGGGCCGTCGTGTGAGCGACAGTGGCACAGAGCATCCACACAGCCAAGCAGAGGCGGTGGAACGGTAGCAATGGCCGTGCGTGATGGGGCAGCGATGTCCGAGTGCATGCCCGCGGTGGCGTGCGCGCGAGGCGTAGCGGCGCTCGCCCACGGCGGCCTGGGCGCGAGGTAGAGCGTCGGCTCTCGTCTGCGGCAGCGTGCACGTGGCTTGCCACCACGCCCTGCGTGGGCAAGAAAGAGGAGTAGCGCTGCGCTGCGCTGCTCTTCCTCTCTGCCCTGTTCCAGAGCCCCGCCATTGACGCAGACGGGCTCCGCCCGCCAAATTCGCCACCGTCGTCTCGCCATTGTTCGGTTCCCCTCCACTCCAGCTGCGCCAAGGCCTTCTCCACCCTCTCCGCCAGATTGTGCCGCTGCTCATCCAAGGTAGAGGTCCCTCGGGCCAAATCTCAGCGCGATAGCCGCCATGGCCGCCGAACGCGTGCTCGCGCGTGGTCGTCCTCCCTCGATCTCGCTCTGCCCTGCCTCTCTCTCGATTCGGGGTCACCCTAGGCAGTAGAAGCATCCACGGTGGGACGTTAGGGCAGCGCTACCGCGACGATGCTGGAACGCGGCATGCTGCCGCCATGACCTCACCGTGCCACGCTACTGTGCACGCGGACGCGTCTCGCTGTCGCTCCGCCGTAGCCGTGCTGCGCGAGTGCTCTCGTCGCCAGCAATGACGAATGACGCCGCCATGGAGCACCATACATGCACCATGTGCGCGTGCAGCAGCCACGTCCTCGAGCCAAACGTGCCCACGTCCGCACCGAGGCGCCGATGCCAAGTTGCAGCAGCGGCACGTGAGCAGGGCGACGACGCCGAGCAGCGCGCGCGTGCGCGTGCTCGGCAGCGGTGGTGCTCGGCGAAGCGACGCCGAGCAGCACGACGCTGCGACGCGTGACGCCTGGCGGGCGCGCGCGCGCAAAGACAAATGTGGCGGTTGCCGGCGAGCCATGGCCGTGAGGATGGAGAGGGAGGGATTGAGTCGATGACACATGGGCCTCACATGTCACTGAGATGAAGGTTGCATGTCAAAACCGCTCAACGTCGGTCAAAACAGCCTTGCTCCCGCCCAGGTGCTAAAAGTGAACGGTTTTGACATTTGGGGTACCAGTACTAGACGGTTTTGTAGTTGAGGGTTAAAATTAGACCGACACAATAATTAATGGGCCAAAAGTGGACTTAATCCAATATAATCATAGGGGCAGCTCTAAAAAATCGTTTTACTCTGTAAATTTATGTTTACTCTTTTATTTAGCATAATCTATTTATGTTTTTATTTTAGATTAGATCTAACCGATTTTTATCACAATTGCAATTGTATCCCGGGACCCTTTATTTGTGGTAACGCTAATGGAAGCGTGTAACAGGCAAAACTCTACTGATGTTTGGCTCGAACACATATTTTATCCGGAACAACGGCGTAGCATGCAAAACATGGCTCCCATTTCACACAGATAATTCCGCTGCATTCCGGCCATGCCCTGCACTGCACCTGGATATTTACGGCTGGGCCTAGAAGAATCAGACGAGGGGAAGAAAAAACACCGCCCACCGGTAATAGTGTTTTTCTCTCACACCAACCCAGCAGTAAATCATCCACGATACGATACGGCCTCCCAAACATGCTATATTTCCGGACAGAACAGAAGCACGTCATGGCTTGACATTTTGCTCTCCGCTTAAAGTGTGGAAATTGACGAGATGAGGGAAACGCTGAAAGCCTTGCGAGGAGGCTGGGACCGAGAACGTGCCCCCTTCCGAAAGGGAAAACGGCTCGCCCCGTCGAATTTTCTGCGCTTTTGGTCCGGCTGCGCCCCCATACATATCGGTGTAAAGCCCTCGGTATCTTTGCACAAAATTGTTGCCCCTGCCGGTCCGTCGTCGTGTGACGTTACGCGCGTCCAGTAGACAACGAACAAAGAGTTTCCAAAAAGAGGCGACGAACGGAAGCGAGCACCCCAACCACGGACCGCGCGATTTGGCACGAGTAGAGCGCCTGGCGCCTGTTATGGTAATCTAGATTCCTCACCGTTTTCTGGAAAGGAACTGATTGGGATGAGAGAATCACCCTGTTTGCATATACTGAAATTTAGCTTAGGCTAAAATGTTGTAAGAGAAAAACACTGTTTCATATCTGAAAAGTAGTGCTGAATATATGCTGCCCCTGGCCGGGTAGCGCAGGGTTGAATTCTTCACGCTGGCAGGTGGGGACAGATAGACAGGCTCCCCTGTTCCCCACTCGTTTTCAAAGGTCAGAGAAGTAAGCAAAACTCCTACTGTGCTGTATTTAAAGGGCGTGCTGATGATATTTTAAAGCAGAGCTTTGGTTTTCAATTCTCGACCGCATCTTTTTTTTTACAACAATTCTCGACCGCTTCGTTGCCGCGTTAGCTGTGAACGGGCCAGTGGATGGGAGGGAGCGGGCACAGGATTTGGACAAGGGCCATTAGGATTAGGACAGGTAATTTGGAAGTTGCTTAGGGGGCCAGTCACAGCTCGTGTGGCGCCGCTGGCGGTAAGAAGTGAGAGACGTGAACCTGCCCGGCCCCCCGCCCCGGTCCCCGCCGGACGGGGGCCGTCGCCTACAACACAAGCCGCCTCCGCACGGCTCTGCGCTCCCGGCCCGTCGTCCACAGCGTCGATCTCGATCCTATATAAAGCCGCCCCAGCGAGTCCAAGCCCCTTGCCTTCTTTCTCAACCCACCTCTCTCTTCTCTTTCACACACGCCTCTCCCTCCCTCTCTCTCTCTCTCTCTTCCTGCCTGAGGCAGCCATTTCCGCTTCCGATCGTGGAGGCTTGGAGTGGAAGGAGGAAAGGAGGCTGCTGCTGGTTTTTGATCGGTGCGGCGGAGAGATGTCTGAGGTGTCGGTGATAAACCAGGCGGAGGTGGAGGATGTGGGTGCCGGGCAGCTGTACCTGCCGCCGGGCTTCCGCTTCCACCCCACCGACGAGGAGATCATCTCGCACTACCTCACCCACAAGGCCCTCAACCACCGCTTCATCTCCGGCGTCATCGGCGAGGTCGACCTCAACAAGTGCGAGCCATGGGACCTCCCAGGTTAGTACTTAGCTACTTGATATCCTCAACGCCTCAGCTAAACCTGCACTTTTTTCCCCTTGTGCTTGTACTAGTAGTGCTTCTTTCTCGGCTGGAAATCATGGCCTAATTGAAAAGCTTTCCTTGCGTTTGATTTCTCCAGGCAGGGCCAAGATGGGGGAGAAGGAGTGGTACTTCTTCTGCCACAAGGATCGCAAGTATCCGACGGGCACGCGGACCAACCGCGCCACCGAGACCGGCTACTGGAAGGCCACCGGCAAGGACAAGGAGATCTTCAGGGGCCGCCGCGTCCTCGTGGGCATGAAGAAGACGCTCGTCTTCTACCGCGGCCGCGCCCCGCGCGGGGAGAAGACGGGCTGGGTCATGCACGAGTTCCGCCTTGAGGGCAAGCTTCCGCAGCCGCTCCCGCGCTCCGCCAAGGTCCGGCCGGCCCTGTTCTCGCCTCGCCTCGTTTAATTACTCCTTCGGCCTTGGAAATCTCTTTCCCTTTTTCGGCCGGTGGGCTAAATCCGCTTCTTTTTTGTTGCGTGCAGGACGAGTGGGCCGTGTGCAAGGTGTTCAACAAGGAGCTGGCGGCGAGGACCGAGCCAATGGCGGCGGCGGCCGGCGCGGAGCTCGAGCGCGTCGGGTCGCTGGGCTTCCTCAACGAGCTCCTCGACTCCGCGGAGCTGCCGGCCCTCATCGGCGCCGACGTGGACGAGGTGATCGACTTCAAGGGCCCCGCGTCCACCTCCGGCCACGCCGGCGCGCCGGGCACGAGCTACCTTCCGGCGAAGATGGAGGAGCACGCGCTGCTGCAGATGCAGTACCAGCAGCAGCAGCCGCCGCCCCCGTTGTTCTACTCGAGCCAGTACTTCTCGCTGCCGGCGATGAACTCCGGCGACCTCCCCCCGGCGATCCGGAGGTACTGCAAGGCGGAGCAGCAGGTGGTCTCGTCGGGGCAGACGGCGTCGGTGGTCAGCCCGTCCCGCGAGACCGGGCTCAGCACCGACCCCAACGCGGCAGGCGGCTACGCGGAGATCTCGTCGGCGGTGACCCCGTCGTCGTCGTCGCACCAGTTCCTGCCCGAGCTGGATGACCCGGTCCTGAACCTCGCCGACCTCTGGAAGTACTGAAGCCTGAACGACGATCGATCGATCGATCGGTGGCTGGCGGGCCGCCCACCCGCCTCGATCGCTCGTTCACATGATTTGGTTGGTTAATTGCTTGATTTGATTGATTATCTTGGTCTCTTCTGGGATTGGGGTTGGTGACGGACCGCTGATGCATCGTCACCTCCGCCAAGTCCGGCCTCTACTGACCTCGGCTCGTCTGACTAGATTATTATCCGTCCAGACCGCCAGGGGATTAGGGCCTCCTTTGTTAATTAATCCCCCCACCCATCCTGGGTTCCTTGTCTTGGTCTCTTCTGTACATAGTACTGGTGGTACCCTACTCTGATTGTGTCATTAGCAGTCGCGTGATTACTGATAGGATTAATGAAATGGGGGTAGATTAGGGGGGCCTGCACCTGCGTCAGCAGCGCAGGGCAGGGGGGATTCTATAGAATTGATTAGTTAATTTGGGCGCTTGATGAGCCAGCTCGCGCTAGCTTTATATGTACATGTACTACCATTAATTGTTAGTTGAGCTCGACATGCCATTATGTGATGAATTTGATGCTTCAGTTAACCTCTTGTAAAGCTCCTCCGTCCGTCCGTCCTCTTGTATTGTACCGGTGCCGCTTTCCACTTGTTGCTCCTTTCAACGAATCGCGCGGCAGCAGCCTCATGGATGCGATGCGATGCGATGGGTCGGGCCATGAGCGGATCATAGATCGTTCGATCCGTGGGGCCCTCGCCGCCATCGCACGCACGCGACGACGCCAGGGGTATGGGACACTAGCCCCTGTTGGGATCCAAATCCGGCCAATTATTTGGGGGAGGGTGACGTCGTCCTCATCGCGCCCAATTGGATCGGCGGCCGCGGCGGCAATGGCTAGCGCAAGGTGGCCTACCGCCGGCTCCAGCCTTCTCCTCCTCCTTTCGGAAACCTCAGCGGCGCGCCCCTAGCCATCAATTTAACACTCTCAGATATGATTTTTTTTACAAAACTGCATCCCATTCAAAAGAAACGATATAATTATCGTAACTGAATCTAATATCATAAATGGTGATTCCCCTAAACAACGTATAAGCCTATATCCTTCAATCTGAGAATACTCATTTTATATCGATTAACTCTATTCTTTAAATCTACCAAAATATTTGATAATTCAGCAATAAATCATCGCAAGCACCTGACCTTTTTGCACATTCATTCAAAGGCCCTCAGATCCACACCATGCCACACGAAAACTTTATCCGATTCACTCTGATTTTCGGCTAAACGTCTAGTATCTTGATTGACAGAGGAACAGCGAACGCACATGGCGAGCAAGGTCTAATTGGGAGAGGATGATGTCAGCAGCCTTGATGGTCATGTCAATGTTCTCATGCGCCGTCCGGATTATGTGCGTCCTCACCTGCAACCCCACCAAACAGAGGACATGTAGATCTATTTCAGAAAAGCTTATGAAACAAACAAAATCTAAATCTCTATCCTCTCCTGGCCGAATGTCTTCACGATGTGTTGAGGCAGGCTCCCCAATGAACTCCCAGTCTTGTCCAATGTGAGAAGCAACAGTAGACAACCTACCGTGAGGGCCGGTGTAAGTTATAGTTCGTTATTTGTCGCTAGATGGCTCAAAGATCCGAAATGCAATGGATCACTAGAAAGAAATGATACAGCAGTATTGTGTGTGAGTTGCAATGTTATCTTGAATCAAGTTAATTTGAATGGATGATTTAGAGATGGGTCACTTCTTGGGAGCAATTTCTTATCATTCATGTCTTAAATCAATTAGACTGTTTGGTTGTAAAGCTAGATATAATTCATGAAAAAGATACTAAACCGGAAGCAGCAGAACAGGGTTGTAAAGAACAAATGCTCCCTACCCGTGGGCATAACATGCGCTGAAAATTTCGAAGTCTCCACTGCTTGGGATTAACCCCTTCCTTTTTCAACTTCAATGAGTCATGCCCAAGTCTCTCCTCGAAACAAATTGTAGTAGTTGTTTGCCGAATGAAATGTAACATGAAAAACACAGCTCACCGATTAAAGGGCAGTTCTACACCTAGTTGTTATAAGCAGAATGAAAATAATGAAATTATAAAAAAAGAGTAGCAACCTACGTGCTGGAGAGCACTGAAACGGCAGAAAAAATCATTTTTTTAGACATAGTCAGTGCATATCACCAATTAAAAAAAACTAGAACAGTGTTTTCAGAACTGTTTCAAAAAATAATAACCACTAAATGGGACCATGCATTTTATAGAACATTTTGTTCTTCCAGTGATAAGATGAAACATCACAAGGCATGTAGAGAAATGAGAAAGTAAAGCAATAACAAAGGAGAGAAGTAATGTAAAAATCGGTGGATAGCAGTACCTAGTTTAGTAAAAAACAGAGGCCATAAGCTGCAAATTATTCTTTGGAGCAAAGGCATCTGGTTTTTCATTTTTATTTTTTTCAACAAATTCATGTACAGTAGGAACGCAAGACTTTGCAAATGTAGTACTGTAAGCACCAAGATGCATTAAAACATTGATCCAAAAGAACCACTAACCTTGGTTCCAGCAAAGACATGTCTCTTGGGTCGACATGAACTGAGAGGGTAAAGAATGCAATATGAAAGTGTAGTCCTCCACTTTAATAGCAGAGCAACATCCTGGAGCACATGAAAACTGAATGAAATATGATGGGGGCACCGAAAGGGTAAATAACGCATTTACAAATTATTCACAGCCATGAAACTATTAGAAGTCTGAAAAATTACTAAAGTATATAAGAATGGCATGTTCATATCCTGCTGGTACTGATCTAGATTTAGGATATTACCTTAGGCCTAGGAGTTCAAGTGACATTGCTGGATGCTCCCGGTTAGATAGTTCTGGATGAAGCCATGTAGTTTCCATGGCCATGCCCCACCTGAACCTGTCAATGTGCTAAATAGAATTGATAGCAGCAAAATGCTGGCTGGCATAAATTTGCTAGGTGATGTCTTCAGTCTGCCAAAGCATAAAAACATATATTGAAAAACCTCAATGTGTAGATGATGTAAACAGAAAATATAACTCACATTCAGATACAGTCTCATAGGTGCTTTCCGGAGCCTTCGGTAGGAAGGCAACATCCAACAGTACTCTAAAACTGAAAACCACACAGTGTGCATAAATCATTATATATTTCTACTGCAAGAAGTATTTATAAATTATAACTAGTATAACAATTCACCAAAGCAGTTGTAGCAAAAAGAAAATCATTAGTATGTTGTCCAGCACTGACTCCATCAAGATCATGATAAACATGTATGCAAACAACTGAAGAAGAGCAACAAACAACCTATGTTAGCCTCAACATATGTTGTACGTAGCTGAAGAAGAGCAGCTGAAGAAGACCCGTGATAAACATGTATGCGAAATACCTATTACATCATTACTCAATTTTACGAGACATATACCAAGTTCCTACTACTGAAGAAGAGCAGCAAACAACATATGTTGTATGTAGCTGAAGAAGAGCAGTTGATGCTAATCTGACAAGTGTGTAATAAGAACACAACAAAACTTCACTGATCATCATGGGTAAACATTAAGAGCCTAATAATTGAATCTAAACAATTAGGACTTTATTGGAATTGAATTGATGTGCAAAATCTATGGCATTTGCAAGACACATGCTGTGTACTGCAACCAAGATAGACATGCTTGGTATTTTCACAAACATCTTATGTGCAATCACAGTAGTGCCATGATCCTAAGACTAAGCAGGATTTCCCTAATCTCTAACCAGCAAGATTTCCGTAATCTCCAACCCAGCAGAGAGTTGGTCGAACCTACCAGCAACAATGGCATGGACACATGCTTGTAGATGCACTTCCTTGTTCATGGCAATATGTTGATACGTATGGGTGGCCGGCGTGGCGGGCGGTTGTCACGAATGGCGGCAAAGTCCTCAGCGATCTCGTCCCTGGTGAGTGCAGCGAAGGCCCTATTCCTGGGCAGGGCCGATGGCGGTGGCGGTGACGCGAGCGGCTGCAGCAGGTGCCCTCCACCCCCCAACATGAGATGTGTTTACTTTTAGTACAAAACCATGACGGAATAAAAAGAGACTGTGAACTATCAATTTACTTATATTCACTCTTAATTTATTACAGATATTCCGGAACACACTTCAGATGCTTTGTACAGAACTATTAATGTCTAAAGAAACTGTAAACAAAATGACTTTAGAATAAAACACACAAACGTGACCTTAAACTTGTTAGTTAACTCTGGGAGCCTTGAAATTTGCAGTGATCGATAAATTTAGGCCCCTCAACCACGTTCCTGTGTGAAAGGATGAAAGACCACCGAGTATTAGAGTTGAGGATGACCTGAAAGTTTACATAATTTATCCAGCTAGTTTAACGCAACGTCAGGAATTGCATGGTTTTAGATTTAGAGATGATTGTAAACTCAATATATCAAAGACCATCCCTGTGCAAAGCTTCAAGTAAATTTTGTGTAACTATGATCTAGGCATCTGTTTTCCCTTATTCTTACTGAACTTCACCGTGTGCGAGTTTTAGTTGTATTGTATTGTAGGGTGTTTTGTATAGCAAAGAAACTCATGCTATGCTAATACAGATCACCATCTACCGCTTGTAAATTTTCCAAGACAGTGAACAACAGTTCCTTCCTTCAGGAACAACCGCAATAGATCTTAGCTAAATCACATCAAATCTCACTGCAATTACTGGAAGAACCCCATAGCCAAAGCTTCCCTGATCCCACAAACGCGCAAGCAGGAATATAGTGTTGTGATCCAGACGGGAGCAGGAACAATGTTATGCTACCCGTGCGGCTCGAGGTGCGCGATGAACCGACCGTAGCCGAGAAGCGCATCGGCGTCCTCGGCGTTCTCGAAGAGATGGCCTGGGGGCCCATGGATCCTACCGTCCGGATGGCTGTCGCGCCATGGATCTAGTGCCGCGCCCTTGTTTGAGCAGAGGGGACAACCCCTGGTGTTGCCTCGTTCGTAGAGGATGCTGACA